ATAAAATAGTGTGATGCTATTTTAGCCAAATTCCTAATTCTATATCTTAAGAGTGGTTATCTTAAGTGTGAGTTTTAGGTTCTAGTTATTTGATTGAGTGTGTAATATCTTGATTAAATACTAGAGTTTAACCCCAAGTTAATCTAGAGGTGAGCTTATCCTTTAGTATTAATTTGGCTCCAAATTAAGATAAGATTGTGTTAATCTCTTATTCCTTATTTGGAATTTATCCCATCCTTTCTAAACCCATCCTTCATCCCTGATTTTCCACTCTTCTTCATAATATCAAAACCCAAAAAGAACTCCTTCACATTCCCATATTTTCATCCAGCCCATTTCCCCTTCATTATTCCACAGTTCTATCTCCAAAACTAACAACTTGATAAGACCCCCGGTTCAACCCTAACATCTGGTATCAGAGCTCAACTTCGACGACTTTCTCAAGTCTCGACGATTTACCCGGAGGACCAGCTTCACCTACGTTGCACAAAAACAAGGCTGCAGAAAATTGCTTCTGAAAATTTCAGCCCCAAAGAAGTGATCACGGAGGAAGGTGCAAAACTAATTTCAACGTGAAACTTTCTAGTTTGGAATTTAATCTTTTTATCTACATCTGGCTGCTGATTCCACTCAATTCCGAGTTACGATTTGTGAGATACGTCCATCTGAAGTTCAGGCCGCAGTTCTGCGAATTGCTTGTTGACCTTGCAACTTTGGCAAAAAAAACACCCAAAACCCACCACCACCTTGTTTGCTTCAGTCAACCCCACACCAAACACCCAAAAAAAACCAAGCCAACCAACCAGCCCAAAAAAAAAAAATCACCTCCTTTCTCTTTTGTTCAGCCAAAGCACCCAACAATCTCTCCCCCAACAAACTATATCCCTTCCTTCATTCCTTGCCGCCCAAAAAACCAGCCCCTACAACACCTTTTTCCCTATTGATCATTTAAGCCATAGCTACTGCCTTCCCTTATTCCTAACCTTTCAAAGCCACCAAGACATGTCTCACACCATCCAATACATGTCCCATGAAGATCTAGCTTCTGATCAAAAGAAACTAAAGAAGGAGCTTGATCTTTTGATGACGAAGATTGGAGAGTTCACAAATTCAGTGGATATCCCCATGTTTGAAGGAAGAAACGATCCGGAGAAGTTCTTACGGTGGTTAAAGAAGGTCGAGAATATCTTAACATTCAAAGAAGTGCCCGAAAGTAAGATGGTCAAGCTAGTGGCATCTCGGTTCCAAAGACATGCCTCCACTTGGTGGACTAGTGTCACCATTAAGAGAAAGCTTGAAGGAAAAGTCAAGGTACAAAAACTTGGGAGAAGATGAGAACGCTCTTGATCAAAAGGTTCTTGCCCAGAGATTTCCAACAAATGGTACCCAAAAACACCTTCAAAACATTTCCTACAACCATGCCATTTTCTCCACAAGAACCAGTTCATGTATTCCTCCCAAAAACCCCAGCACCAAACCCCTTACAAGCTGCCACAACCATTTCCATTCCTTCCCCTACACCTACACTTCAAACACCATCAAAAACCACCACCTTTTCTCCGTTATCTACTGCCCAAACTAATTCTCAAACCCATTCAATACCCATGCCCCAAAACCCCTCTAAAACCATGTCTTTAACACCAAAACTTACTGCCCAAAACACTGCACAAGCTACCTTCATTCCCATAGTCCAATACCCTTACAAAACCATCACCTTGCACCCCCTTAATACTTCCCAAAACATTCAAAAAGCCACTGCCATGTCCACAACCCACATTTCCTCTAAATTCCCCTCTTCAACTTACAATCATACTGTCCAAAACGTCTCTCAACAAACTCCTTCTCATATACCTAAGAACCCAACTCAAACCCACCCTTTACCTTCCTTAGCCACTGCCCTCATTCACCCCAACACCTTCTCAACACCCCTGCCCCAAAACTCCCCAAAACCCATCTCTATANCTTAATACTTCCCAAAACATTCAAAAAGCCACTGCCATGTCCACAACCCACATTTCCTCTAAATTCCCCTCTTCAACTTACAATCATACTGTCCAAGACGTCTCTCAACAAACTCCTTCTCATATACCTAAGAACCCAACTCAAACCCACCCTTTACCTTCCTTAGCCACTGCCCTCATTCACCCCAACACCTTCTCAACACCCCTGCCCCAAAACTCCCCAAAACCCATCTCTATACCCTTCCCACAAACTGCCCAAAGCATCCCCGGACCCTCCCCCACTTCCAATGACCAAGACACCTCTAGAACCGCTGCTCTCTCAACCATTCAAACTTTTTCATCAAACCACCCTCATATTTTACTAGAAACCCTCAAACCATCTCTTACTACTACAGCCTTCACCCCTCAACAAACCACACCAACAATACCAATATCAATTGCCCAAATGAACCCTAAACCTATTCCCACCCAAAACCCAACCAGATTCGTACCTCCAACTCCACTCCCTAAGCTGCCTACAATCAAGTCTACAAACCCTGGTTGTTACCATTGTCAAAAGGTTGGACATTATGCTATCATGTGTCCAGATAAGAGAAAAGTGACCTTGATTGAAGATGTTATGGAACAAGAAGTTTTGAGGCAAAAACAAGTTCAAGAAGATGAGAGACCATTATTCTTGGAACAAGAAAAGCTCATGGTCGTTAATAAACCATTGAGAATTGTGGAAGAACGAGAAAAAGAAGAAAAGCTCATAATCGCAACCACGGATGCTTGCCACATTCTTTTAGGAAGACCATGGTTGTTTGATCAGAGAGTGCTATATGATGGCTTCAGTAACACCTCATTCTTGGTGGGTAAAAAGAACATCATTCTTATCCTTCAAATTCCATCAAATCCTCATATCTATGAACAAGCCCCTGCCCTACTCTCCATTGTTATCAAACATGAATCATCAATGCCTCAAAAGGCCAAGGAAAAGATCCTCATTCGGTCCAAAGATTCACAACCACTCTCCCATCCCTTGGTTCAACCAAACTTTACCCTATGTGTTCTTGAAAATGGTCCAACCGAACCCCCATTTAGGAGAACCAACCGTGGAACCTTGTTACTACTAATGTCCTTTGTTGCCAATCTTGTTGTGGATATACAGGGATTTCACGAAAGAAAACAAAGATGCAAGAACACTTTTTCCAAGTGCTCCATAGTTCTACCAAGGCTGCATTTTCAGCTCACCATACTCCAAGTACCCAGTGGACACATCAAGGAGTATGCCATTGATGGGATTAACCCGATCAGATGGCGGACCAAGAACGGAATATGAATTAGGAAGATATAATTACTCGATAATATTCTTTGATTAAGTATTGAATTATCTTGTTGTGACTTGCTTTACAATGGCGGGTTTTCCCCATTTTATAGTACTTCTAATATTCCAATTAAAATTACACAAAATGGAAATGGATTATGGAGATCATGGGGTTGTGATTCCCCTTCTTTCCGGTCTCGTTCTCTTCCCATCTCGCCCATAACTCGACGATGTGGGCCACGCGTCCCATTCCCCTTTTGGACTGGGTCCCTTCGATTTACCTCGTGTTTGGGCCGTCTCCTTCCACTTTCCAAATACGAGATGACAGGCTTGGCCCGTCATCCCATCCGGTCTTATTCCTTTTGGGCCATTATGGGCCTCCATTTGGGCCTGAAGTCGGGTCTACCAGACCCGATATCCATCACAAGCCCCCTAGTTTTCTGGCGACGTGTCGCTAGAAAACTAATGATGAGCCGCCTTCGATCTTCGTGTCGGATTAGAAACGTCGCACTCGAGTACCTCGGGTCCACCTTTCAACGGATAAATACCCCTTCTGGACTCATCTTCTTCCTCTCGCCACTGAATCTTAACCCGACCCGAATTCCAACTGCAATTTCCCAAAATTCTCGTCCCCTTCTCCGGAATGGCCCCTACGAATCCTGAAACCTGGACCCATGGACCCTCCGTCATCAAGGAGAACGAACTTCGGGAGATGGCCGTGCTTTTGGGCAAGGGTTTCCGGGTCCACCATCCCGATGCCGTTGGGGGGATTAGTTTAACCTACAACCCAAATCCCCAGAAATATATGGTCATGCAGTACCACTCTGTGGAGAATGGATTTAGGTGGCCCCTCCACGGCCTGCTCCGCGACCTCTGCCTCCATTTTGGATTTGCTCCGGGACAATTGACTGCCAACGCACACAAGTATGTCGCGTCCTTCATCTTACGGTGCTGTGCCCTGGACAAAACCCCGCAATTGGACGAATTTCTTCTCCTCTTCAGTATCGGTGGTTTCCCCTTTTACAGTTTATACCCCCACAATCATTTTCCCATTTTCGAGAAGGTCGAGCTCAAGATCGACAAATGGGCGCTTAAATACTTCGTCATTGAATTCCCGGCTCACAGCCCCATCGATCTGCCGGGTGTTGTCCTCCGCCGCTCCATCCCCCGGACGAAATTCGCCGCAGTAAACTTGGCGGAGGGCGCGTATAATGCTTTGAGGGAGAAGGAGGGTCTAATTCCCCACCACTCTCTCCAAGAGGCTAAACTGTACAAAAAGGCAGGTTTCTATTACCCCCTGGGTCCTGACCCGATTCCTTTTGAGGAGGTGCCTTCCCCCGAGAGATCGAAGGCTCCTTCTGCTGCAGAGTCCCACCCGGCTGCAAATTCTTCTGGAGATCGGCCTCAAGGTGGTTTCAATACCTTAGTGGTGTGCAATCTGGATGCTGCTCTGAATGCTGTTCCTATCTCTGCCATCCCTGGGCTTAGGAGGCCCACTCTGTCCTAGAAACGGCCACGGGAGGGTCTCTCCGACGATGATTTCCTCCCCAAAAAGAAAAAGGATGACGGTACCTCTGTTTCACCCAGCCCCCTGTCCAACTCTTCTGGCACTCAGAATACCACTCCTGCGGCTACGTCCGGGGTCTTGGAGTTATCCCACCCGGATAGACTCGATCGTGAGGAAGAAGAGCCTAGGGACCAATCTGCGCTCAGAAAACCCACAACGCAGCCCCAGACTGAAGTGTCCGGTTCCTCTCCACGCGCCACAACCAGTCCCCAAGCCATGGAGGAAGAAGGGATGAGGCAGAAGGAACCGGAGCCCTCCCCTACAGCAGAGAGGGAAGTTGAAGTGCAGTTAGAAACGGAAGTCTCCCACCCAGAGGAGGATGAGGCTGGAGAGCGGCAAGATGCTGAAGCTTCCCTAGAAGTGAGGAAAGAGACTGAGGTGCAACAGACTCAGGAGGAGCAGCGAGAGCCGGAAGGACGACATCCCGCTACTGCTCCCCCGGCTGTCAATCTCCCCATCCGGTGCAAGTTCACGCCACGGACTTATTCCGCTTTCGCGGAGGGTTGGGAAGGCTTCTCCCGCGGTTTGAGATCCTTGCAAGCTTCCCATTGGACTATCTAGGGGAATCTAGCAAGGATGCAGGGATTAGTGCAGGAACCCATAACTCCCCATGCTCGCCCTGATCTGCTTGCCCTCAATGCCCTGCACCTCATGGAACAGGTACCCTTCCTCTTCGACAATCTCTTTACCTTTTTCCGGGTTAGTTCATCTCCTTGACTTCCCTTTCCTTCTTTTAGGCCCAGCAATCGCTCCTTACTTTAACTGAGGAGTACCTGGGTGGAGCATCAGGGAACTTCCGGGCTGTAATGCTTCTGAGGGAAAAGGATCTGGCCGCCAGGGCCTTGCAACAAAAGGTTGACTCCCTAGAGCAACAAGTCCAGGTCCTGCAAAGGGAGAATGCTCGGCTCCAAGCAGATGGCTCCACGGAGCTTGCAGCTGAGAAATCCAAGGTCCAGTCCCTGCAAGATCAGATTGCCAATTACCAGAAGGAAACCCAGGATCTGGAAGTGCATTTCGATAGATTCCGGGCTCAAATCTCAAATCTGGAATCAAGGGCCTCAGCTTCAGAAGGCCAGGTAGGAAGCCTGAAAGCTGAGTTGGCTGAAAGGGAGTCCAAGATCTCTGCGCTGGAGGAATCCCTCCAGGATGCCAAGCATGAGAGCTCCCGTCACAATGAATTCGCCCTGAAGCAGATGGAGGCAAGGCGGCTCGTCCTCGAGCAGTTGAAAGGAGAGAGACACGTTGCAAGTGAGCTCCGGGCAAAGGTGGATGAACAAGAGAAGATGGTCACTGCTCATCAAGAGGAGGTGGCCACCCTGATTGCCCGTGCCAAAACCCTCTACGAAGAGGGACAATTTGACATGCAGCAATGCATCTACGGGGCAGTCCAGAGTGGTCTCCCAGAGAACCACACTTTGGATGACTTCATCTCCTACTATGGGTTACCTCTTCCTCTTCCTCCCCCAGCTTCTCGTGCAGACCCGGGGCCTTAACTTTATTCCTCCTTGTTGACCGTCATATTTTGCCTTGTAATTACTTGGATTATGGTAAATTGATTACACTTGATGTATTTCTGTCCATGTAGACTCCTTTAGTAATCTGACTGTTCTCCATTTGGTATTCTTGTTTTGCCTTAGGACTTAGCAGATTTTTTTTTATCCGCCTAGGCTTTGGGCTTAACCGCGTTCACAACGCATTGTTCCTCTTATTTACCGTCGCGCTAAGTGACTGGCCCACTTTACTTATGCCGGGCCCAACTCACCTTAGCCCAATGACAATACAGTGGAACCCTAGCTCTCATCGGGAATCCGCAACTGCCTCCCAATCGGATAAGCGCTTTGACTCCGCGTCCTTTGCCCTTCTCCTTTGGGATTACTCACCTATTTAAGGGGCTGGGCTAAACCCTTTCCATACCACAATCAATCTCTCAACATGGCTAATAACGCCAATAGAGTCGTCTTCATTGATCTTACTATTTCTGATTCTTCTTCTGATTCTTCTTCGTTGGCCTTCCCTTCACTTGGGTCCCCAACACCTGAGCTCTCTTCTGGGCCTTCCCTTGCCTCTGAACAATCGGTAACCTCCCCCTTGCCCAGGGAGGAGAATAACCCTCATCTCCCCCAACAGGTCCCGGGGAGTATCCCTCCGGGTCCCAGCGTGCTTCCTAACAGTGCCAGGGCTGAAGTCTCTTCTGGCTGTCCTGGCACTTCTCGTCCACAGAAGAGACGCAATCCCCACTCAGGAGCTTCCCGGCTGGTCTCCGGTGCGAGGCCTTCTTCTTAGAGTTCCCCTTCCCCTCAGCAGTTGCATGGACAGCCACCTAAGGAATGGGGGGACTATGACATGGGGGGAAACAGGCTTCCCTTTATACGCAGGGAAAAGGATGGGGCCTTCAGGGACCCACCCTCTCCTTCCGTATAAATGGAGATAGGCCTTGGATCCTTCCCTCATGCCCACCCGTCCTCCTGATCTGACTTCAGAGAGGCGACCGGAAGGTGCCAACGGGGGGAATGTCTTTCAATCCCAACCCGTTGGTTCCTCTCCGTATCTTTTGAATGTCATCAAGAGAAAACGGTGGGTGCCCTCACAGGAATGACCGGATGGTACCCACGGGAATGGCTTTAGGTCCCAACCCGTTGTTACCATTCTAGTTCTTGTGAATTTCATGAAGTGTCTCCGGCGGACACTCTCCATGCCTTCCTGCCTTGAGGTTCTCTTTCTGGTTCAGGCAGGGAAGCAAGGGTCAGTGAATTCACTCCTTTAGATTCCAGAAGTGTCGATCCGCCTTGCTTTCAATTTTTCTTCCATAGTAGGATAGAAGTAGATCAGGGACAAAGTTCATTACTGTAACCCAAAAGAATGTAATTTTTCTGTTTGAGTTATTTAATGAAAATCTTTTATCTCCTGTCTTTTTTTTGTTTCATAATTAGATCAGGGATAAGGCCCATCACTGTAACCCAAAAGAATGTAATCTTCTGCTTGAGCTATTTAATGGAAAGAGCCTTTATCTCCTGTCATTTAATATTATTTTGTTGCACGTGCCGTCATCTGCTTGGAGTAGAAGTCTAAGTCTATTTAACTCCTTACCTTGCCAGGATAACGTCTTTTTCAAAGCGCAAGTGGGCCCAATTAACTAGCTTATGCACTCCAATGGCGAGAAACTCTTAGTCAAACTTTGGGAAAGCTTCGAACGTTCCTTTCACCAATCGTTTAGTCTTTCACGCCTTTTAATTGCATTCATCAATTCCCAACTATCCCTTCCCCACTGACTATAAAATGGGAAAGGGCAATTAGTGGCCCGTCCATCACTTTCTGACTCCTTCACCATGGCAAGCAAGTCTGAGGGCAAAGTCATCATCGACTTAACCCTCTCTGGGACGTCTTCTTCTTCAGATAGTGACCTCCCCATCTCCCCAGCCCAGTCCAACGACATGGCCGGGTTGAGTCCCGGCGAGTTCTCGAGGCTTTATCCGGCACCCCGCCTTCCTGCACCTTCTCCTCCCAGTCCACCCAGGCTTCCCTCCGGGGAGATAGACTGGGACTCCATGACTCTTCAAGACTTCGCCTTGTACCAGAGGATGCGCAGGACTAAACTTGGACGTTCTGTACTAGCTATTGAAGTGGAACCTTCATGTGAAAGCCGGACTGCTTCTCCAGACCTGCAGAAGCCTTCCATCAATGGTTCTTCATTGGAGGGAGCAGCCCCTCATCCCGGAACATGGGAAGACTATGACATATGGGAAACCGCTGATTCATCAACGCATCCCTCATCAAAGAGAAGGAGCCCATGGAAGGGTCCCCCACCTCCATCTTGTTGACTGCATGGATGCAATAGGCCCTCCTTCAGTTCCTAGCCTCCTGCAAACCAAATTTCTTTTCCTTGTTTTGTATCAAGGGGCATTCACTTGCTCGGTCCAGAGGTTTTCCCCTCATTCCAAACTAATGAATGTTCCTTAATTTTGAAATAGGAATTATCATTGTAATTCAAAGATATACCTTCCGAATTAGCAATCGATAATTCCCTTAGCTTCTTTTCTTGTTTATTTCACTAGGAACCTTTATTGTGAACCAAAAAATGTAACTCTTGGCCCATCAACATGCAGGAATTACTAGTAAAGAAACGTGGAGAAATTTACGTTCATGTATTAAGTAAGAGATACTATTTAGAGTAGAAGGGCCCCAAACCCTTATGGATCCCGGGAATAGTATAGACGGGGACCGGAAGGGAAGGAGGCCCAATTCCGTATTAGAATAGATGGAACCTAGTCAACTCGAGGTTGGGTCGAAGTTTGTTTGCTCGGTTGATCTATGCTAGTGGAATACTAAGCTTCAGCCCTCGAAGTCTGCTTGCTATTCTTCCTGAATTCCGGGTTGTAGTGGCCCTCGAAGTCCAATCCCAACCCTTCCTTCATTCTTGACGGAGGCATAAACTTCTCTACCTCCGGGGGGGCATAAACTTATCTACCTCCCCTATTTTTAGCAGGTGGCATAAACTTTTCTACCTCCCTGTAACGCGGGTCTATATTGCCCGGGGGTGCTTTCCCCCTTTTTTTTTAAAAAAAGAAATCCATAGAACAATGAAATTGCAAAGGCACTTGGCTATGGAAGAAGGTGAATGAAACAAACATTTGGAATTAAAAAACAGAGTATTTTTACAAAATGATTTACTGATAAAATTTGACCAAGTGCTCTACATTCCATGTCCTATCAATTTCTTTCCCCTTGGGAGTCACCAACTTGTAGGTACCTGGGCGAACTACGGCCTTGATGATATAAGGTCCTTCATACTTCTTCGCCAGCTTCCCACCTTTCGTTGGTGACTCTTCTCTCGTTTCCTCAGAACATAATCCCCCACCTGGAATGCCCTTGGTTTAACCTTGCTATCAAAGTAAGATTTCACCTGGCGACGATAATTTTCTGCCCGGATGCGTGCTTCATCCCTTCGTTCTTCTACGAAATTCAGCTCTACGGCCTGGTTCTGTTCATTCAACTCCGGGTCATATTCAATTTCTCTCCTGGTGGGGATTACTACCTCGGCGGGGGCCCGGGCTTCAAAACCATACGCCAAGCCAAAAGGAGTGTGACCCGTGGCTCTCCTCGGAGTCGTCCTGTATGTCCACAGGATTCTGGGCAGTTCATCTACCCATTTGCTTCCTTCTGAAAGTAGCTTCTTCTTTATTCCGTCTATGATTGTTCTGTTGACGTTCTCCACTTGTCCATTAGCCTGAGGGTACGCAACAGACACCTTTGTGTGCTGGATTCCCCAAGTTTTGAGAAAGTTTTGAAATTCTGCTTCCTCAAACTGGGTTCCATTGTCTGATATAATCTACTTCGGGACCCCGAACCTGCAGAGTATATTAGTCCCAACGAAGTCGATCATCTGCCTTCCGGTGATCCCTGCGAGTGGCTCAGCCTCCACCCACTTTGTGAAATAGTCTATCGCCACTACGATCCACCTTTCCTGCCCCGCCCCTTTTGGCAGGGCTCCCACAAGATCAATCCCCCATCTTGAGAAGGGAATCACGGAGCTGATGGGTGTGTAGTTAGTGGCTAGTCTCCCGGGTATATTCTGGAATTGCTGGCAAGTCAGGCACTTGCGCACATACTCTTCGCAATCCTTCCTCATCGTTGGCCAGAAATATCCCTGGATGATAGCCCTCCGGGAAATGGAATAAGGACCCTGATGTGCGGCACATACTCCTTCGTGTATTTCTTCCATCAACGCCCTCGCCTCTGCTGCTCTAAGGCATCGGAGTAGGACACCGTTGTAAGACCGCTTATAGAGGACTCCGTCCTGCATCTTGTAAGTTGGTGCCCTCATTCGTAATAGACGCGCTTCCTGGGGATTCTCTGGGGCTTCACCGTCCTCAATGTATTTGGCCAATCGGTCCAGCCATTCCGGGGGATCAGCTGATACCCAGATAACCTCATTGTTGCTAAGACTCGGGGTTACCAGCTCTTCGACAGTTGCTAATCTGCTTATGTATTCCGGCGATTCTGCGCTGAGCTTGGACAGAACATCGGCCTCTGCATTCTGGGCCCGGGGTATATGTTCAAGTTTAAACTCAAACCTTCCCAACATTTCTAGAGACAAGTCCCGGTACCTCTTCATCCTCTCTTCCTTTGCTTCAAACTCCCCTGTGATTTGTCCCACCACCAGTCGGGAGTCGCTGTAGACTTGAACCCTGATACTCCCATCTTACCAAGAATCTTCAAACCATTGATCAGGGCCTCATACTCAGCTTCATTGTTGGAGACCCGGAACTGAAATCTGATGGCGTAGTAAATCCGGAAATTTTCTGGGGTGACCAAGACGATACCTGCTCCGCAAGATCGAGATCCAGAAGATCCGTCGATGCACATTATCCACCAATCTTTCTCCATCCAGGTTTCAACCTGGGCTCTTGTCATTTCCCTAGCGGTGCACTCGACTTGAAAATTAGCGAGCGCTTGCCCCTTGATGGACGGGCGCGGCCTGAATTCCACGTTGTACTGACTGATGAAGACCGCCCACCTGGTCATCCGGGCCGATGCCGCCGGGCTCCGGCTAAGTGACGCCAATGGCTCATTGGTGAGCACAATAATCCGGTGAGCCTGAAAGTACGGGGTCAATCTCTTCGCCGTCCAGAAGACCGCCAACATGGCTTTCTCTGGTCGGGAATACCTTAACTCCGCATCCCTCAGGGTCTTGCTGACGTAGTAGACCGGATGTTGGGCCCCACACTCTTCTCTCACGATCACAGTACTTATGGCACAATCCGCAATCGCCAAATATAGAGTCAGAATATCCCCAGGTTCCGGCTTGGATAAAACCGGCGGACTTGTGAGATATCTCTTTAATCCTTCAAATGCTGCTTGACATTCCGGTGTCCATTCGAAGGTCGCCTTCTTCTTAACCACCGCAAAGAATGGATGCGCCTTCTCTGCCAGCTTTGAGAGGAAACGATTTAAGGCCGCCAACCTTCCTGTTAGCCGCTGAACCTCCTTGGCTGTCTTCGGAGGTTCCATCTCCATGATGGCTCTAACTTTCTCCGGGTTTGCCTCAATTCCTTTCCGGCTTACCATGTGCCCTAGGAATTTCCCACCTTGAACAGCAAAGGTACATTTTTCGGGTTCAATCTCAGATTTACCTTCATCATGATTTCAAAGACCTCTTCAAGGTCCCGGACATGGTCTCGGGCCTCTTTGGACTTGACAATCATGTCATCAACATACGCCTCCATGGTCCGCCCTAGGACAGTCTTGAACACCTGAGAAACCATCCGGGTATATGTGGCCCTGGAATTTCTCAGTCCAAAAGCCATCACTAGGTAACAGTACAGCCCTTCTGGGGTCATAAAGCTTGTCTTCTCAGCATCGGCCGGATGCATCCGGATCTGGTGATATCCGCTGAAAGCGTCCATGAAGCTCATTAACTCCGACCCGGCAGTTTCATCATCTGATCAATGTTGGGGAGTGGAAACGGATCCATGGGGCATGCCTTGTTCAGGTCCGTGTAGTCGACGCACATCCTCCATGAAGGTGGCTTGGGTGCTAGGACTACATTTGCCAACCAATCCGGGTATTGTACCTCCCGGATATGCCCAATGCTCTGCAGGGTTGCTACCTCCTTCTTTACGAAATCTTTTCTTTCCTGCGACAAATGCCTTCGTTTTTGCTTCACCGGTTTGGCCTCCGGCTGAACATTTAGGCGATGAACAGCATTCTTATGATCCAGCCCTGGCATATCAGCTGGACTCCATGCAAAGACCCTTCTGAACCTCCTGAGGACTGAAATCACTCGAGATCTGAGTTCAGCCCCCAGGTCCTTGCCGATCCTCACCAACCTTCCCGGCGTGCCTGGCTCCAATTCCACTTCTTCGATGCCGCCGGCAACTTCTACTCTGGGACGTTTTTCCTCAGCCCTCAAGAGCTGTGTAGTGACCTCTCCCACTTGGGTATCGTATTTGACGGGCTGTTTGGTTGCCTTCAAATACCATGCCCGGGATACTCTCTGAGATCCCCTGGCAATTCCAACTCCGTGGGGGGTTGGGAATTTTATACAGAGGTGACGAGGTGAGATGACACACTCCAGATCTTCCAATCCGGGTCTTCCCAGGATAATATTTGTGCTAGAAATTATCCCCACCACGACAAACTCCATGTCCAGCTTCCGGGTTGCCTTAGTATCCCCTATCTCAACCGAGAGGGTTATCACCCCCTCCGGTTCAATAGAATCACCAGTAAACCCGGTCAGCGGGGTCTTGATGGGTGATAACTCATTTCTCGTCAAACTGAGAGCCTTGTATGTGTCCATGTACATGATATTAACGGAGCTTCCCGTATCCACAAGAGTTTTGTGGATCAGTAAGTCCATTATATCAATAGTAATTACCAGGGCGTCCCTATGAGGGACCCCTGTCTCTGGAAGATCAGCATTAGAAAACACAATAGGCTCGGTTTTCAACTTCTTACCTTCCGGGACCAGCACCTTGTTGACCATTGCCGCGTTAGCCCACTTCTTCCGGCTTGTGTCCGAGTCCCCACCAGTATTCCCTCCAATGATGAAGTTACACCCGTGGTGTCTCTTCTGGCGATGCGGCGCGGGTTCCGAATCTTCCTCTTCGTCTTCTAGTCCAATGTGGCGTTTCTCCCGGGCCTCAGCCTGGGCTACTTCTTTATCTCTGCGTTTTCCATTCTGAGCATTCCCGGGATTCCCGGCATCACCATCTTGTACAAACTTCTTCAGATGACCCCGGCGGATCAGCCTTGCCATCTCATTTTTCAGAGTATAACAATCTTCTGTGTTGTGATCATTTTTGCGATGGTAAGCACACCATTTTCCAGTGTCTTCCACATTGCAAACCTTCTGAGAATAGGTTGGGTAAGTCACGAGCCACTGCTGTGCTGCATGGGCCATGACCTCAGCCACTGGCAGTGTAAAGACTGGATTGGCAGATTTATGCTTCTCGGAGGTCCCGGGACTTGCGCCCTTTGGGCCATCCGGGAAGCCCTGCTTCTTATTCTTAAACGGTTTCTTTGTTCCCGACTTCTCTTCTTCTTTAGGAGTCTTCTCTTTCTTTTCCTCCTTTCTTTCTTCCAGGGTCACATACCTCCCAGCCCGGACCATCGCTTCTTCGAAGGTATCCGGGGGATGTGTAGTGAGATCGGTGTGAAGGAGTCCATCCTGTAATGCCGCCGTGAACATAGCCAACCTGGACTTATCATCAGTTCCTTCAACTTCCCTGGACTCTTTCCTCCATCGGATAAGGAAATTCTTCAAGGATTCTCCGTGCTTCTGTCGCACTGATGCCAAGTGAGTGAAATGCTTTTTGGGGCGGCAGTTCCCAGCAAAATGCTCTAGGAATCGTAGTCCCAATTCATCCCACGTTCGGACTGATCCGGCAGAGATATGGTTGACCCAGTCCGCAACCTTGCTATCAACGGTCTGCAAGAAGCACCGACACATGAGTGCGTCACTGGCGTCCACGGCGATCATCACTTGGACATAGCTATTTATGTGCTCTTGGGGGTCTGATTCGCCGTCATAACGTTTGACAAATGGCATTTTGAATCCCTGCGGATATGGTTCCGCAAAGATCTCTGGAGCCAAGGGAGTATTCGTTCGAGTAGTGAATACTCGACCCTTGTTTATCTTCCTCTGCATCTCCTGGATCTGCTGTCTCAGGTCTTGAAATTCACCAGCTTCTGGCACCGGCGGTCCCAGACGCCGCGGTGCTGGGACCCTGGCTTGACTTTGAACCTCGTCCTCCTCCAGATTCCGCAATGACCGGACCGGCATTTGGCTCACGCCTCGGTCATTTCGCTGCCGGGGTTCGCGATTGGAGGACGCCACTTGACTGGCCTGAGGTCGTATCCAACCCTGGGGTGCCTTTTCCGGATTCTTCCCCAGCCTCTCACTAACGTGAGCTTTCTGGCGAGATATCCTTTCAAAGACAGATCCCCGCGGATTTTCGTGTCCGTCGCCGAAGATCCGGCTTGGTTCCTTAGCCTGGCCTTCGTTCACCTTGTTGTTCCGGGCCAATTCCTCCGCCCGGCGTCTGTCCATGGCTCGCCTTTCCCTTTCAATCTCCTCCGGATCGTGGAGCTCCTGTAGGATAGGAGAACTCGCAGTACGCAGGACCTGGCGGGGTTGCCCGGGTGGGATGTCCCGGGTTCCGGATTGACCTGGAAGAGCCTTATCCAATCGCTCCATAATGTTGGCCATCATGTTAGCCACATTATTTAGCGCCGTTTCCAACCCATTGACAGGAACAATCATACCCTGCTCAGGGTTGTCACTCCTCACCGTCGACTGGGCAGAAGTAGCAGGGTTACGTCTCGTCCTTCGTCCGGCCATAATCTCACAGCCTTATCTCACAGTATACTCTCAATGGAAGCACGAATGATGGGATTAACCCGATCAGATGGCGGACCAAGAACGGAATATGAATTAGGAAGATATAATTACTCGATAATATTCTTTGATTAAGTATTGAATTATCTTGTTGTGACTTGCTTTACAATGGCGGGTTTTCCCCTTTTTATAGTACTTCTAATATTCCAATTAAAATTACACAAAATGGAAATGGATTATGGAGATCATGGGGTTGTGATTCCCCTTCTTTCTGGTCTCGTTCTCTTCCCATCTCGCCCATAACTCGACGATGTGGGCCACGCGTCCCATTCCCCTTTTGGACTGGGTCCCTTCGATTTACCTCGTGTTTGGGCCGTCTCCTTCCACTTGCCAAATACGAGATGACAGGCTTGGCCCGTCATCCCATCAGGTCTTATTCCTTTTGGGCCATTATGGGCCTCCATTTGGGCCTGAAGTCGGGTCTACCAGACCCGATATCCATCAGCCATGTTCAAAGCCAGCCCCTATTTTGAGCTTGAAGAAATTCTGAGTTTGAGGACAAACTCTTTTGAACAAGGGGAGGATGTTAGATATTCGGGAGCGTCAACGAAGACTTTCCTTAGTCCAGAAAAGGAAAAACAAATCAGGAGAATGAAGCCAAAGTGTGGTGACTTTAATTGGGTTGAATTCATTCCTTTTTCCTATCATGAAGCCCAAACCAACACCATTGTTGTCCTACATCCCACTTAGGCCGAGCCATCTAAACCCCAAACCATCCCTAAATATCCAAACTGCCTTGTCTTTTATTCCCTTTCAAATAAAGTCTTCCTCCACTTATTTTAAGTCCCTTGACTGAAAATAAGAAGAAGACAAACCAAAAACCTTTTCTTTTGTTATTCTTAAACCTTTAAGTAATCAAATAATACACTTCCCCTCCTCTTCCTACATTATGGACGAAATGTCCATCTCCCTAATCCCCCCCCC